ATATAATCTCTATAGAATACTCCTGTAATATTAAAAAAATATTTATGATATTTTCGAAATATTATAATAACATTATTTTAATTTTTTTTTAATAATATTCATGTAACATTCTAGGAACATTTTGCGCTTATAGGGTTAGTCCATGACTAAATCCATAGAAAACCCAGAGGATCGATTCTGTATCTTGAAACGAGGTAAAAATTACAAAAGTGAGCGAATTTACTAGAATACTGATAATTTCATTGGTCAACACCTAGTAAATTTGCTCACTTTTATAATTTTCACGTTATTTGAAGATATAGAATCGACTCCCTGATCAGACATTTGGCTAATTTTCAAATTATCGGACAAGCGCGATACTGAACCAATGAACGCTCTGCCGCTGCCCATAGTTGGTGAACGGTGATTGGCGAACAGGCAAGCCAATGGTGCCAATCGGATCCGCTTGTACTCGGCTGTGCTAGCAGAAAGATTTCAATATCGACGCGTATCGTATGGTGTGTTCGACGTTCTCACCGCAATTGTATCGTATAGTTTGCACAGTTTGTGAGAGCAAGTGGCGTTTATCCGCGAAAGAGATCGCCTTTCGCAGCTAAAGAAATACGGCTTTTCGGCAACGTTTACTCGAACGAGAAACGATGTCGGACGCGATGGTGGATGAACGGTAACTATCGTAAACACTCGTCGATAATTAACGTGAAACGATCTGACATCTATCCCTCTCGGAATTCGCGACGTTACTTCGATTGAGTAAAGTCACTTTGGTCGTCCTGAAAGATATTTTCCGATTACGTTTTATCGATTCGTTTTTTAGTCTATATTTAATGTGCATCTTCTAATTTGTTCTGATTTGGTTCATATATTTCGTTTTGTCAATATGCCGCATAGACTCCACCATTAACACAATTCTATTTTTATTGCCATCCTTTTGTTAATTATTTTCATAATATTTACTTTATTTAAATGATATTACAGAACGTATATTTTCGTGTTGTATATGAGAAAAAGGAAGATGGAAATATCTCAATTTTTTATTGATCTAAATAAAGATGTAAATTATTAAATGAATATGCCTGTACAAATCTAAAGTAGCATAGTGCTTTATTTCTATACATCTTGTAATAGATTTATTTGATCAATAATTTTGATTTTAAATAAAAGGTTTAATTGTTTTAAATTTAGGCTATATTTAAATGTCATTGTTTTAATATTTATGATTTTTGCAGAGTGACTGATGAGATTGAAGCACTGAAAGCAATCCTATTGGATAATGAACTCAACATCAAGGAAAATGATAGGTATTATGTATACATAGAATATCTCAGAATTTATTTACATACACATGGAATATTATGATTCTCTAATAACATAATTTTCTATGTCAAAAAGTAAAAGGAAAAAAATATTTGGATACACTTTTGCCAGAGGAAAAGTTAATTCTTCTGGCCCAGAGAATTGTACCGTGTATTCCATGAACGTGAATTCTGAATGTTTTATACATATTGAAAAGTAATGAAAATGGGGATAAGATTGTATGTGCATGTAGACGTACGTAAAATATGATTGGATAATTTTCTTTATGCATATGTCTATGTAGCAAGTTTGTGTGGATATACCCTAAGGGCCATCACATACAAAATGACATAAGCTGCATAACCATAGCGTAAAGCCGCTGGACCAACAAGCATCTGACATAAAAACCATATCGATTTACATAAGATGCCTTAAACTGCGCGCTGAAATGATTTTTCGGTTTTGGAACACAAACTCTACTAAACTTCCACGTTAATATCATGAATTAAATTGACTAGCAATTTAACAATTCAATGCTTTTTCGCATCTTAGAACGATCTTAATAATGCTGAATGACATATTAAAATCTGTAAATAATTAATTTTTATTGCGAACAATATTATCTCGGCCAGAAGTTAAACCAGATCTCTAACATTCCGTGCGAACGTCCTAAGCCTTTAGACTACTGAGACCTTAGTAATATTCTTCGCAAAGAATTAATTATTTACAATTTTTAATATGTCATTCAACATTATTAAGATCGTTCTAAAATGCGTAAGAGCATTGAATTGTTAAATTAGTCATTCAACTTGTGCACGAGGACGATTATTGTAAGTTCGCGTTTGGCTATTTCATTTTCGACGCCCTTGAGTTATAATGCGTTGAGCTCATAATGAATATGCCTATGAATATAGATTTTAAAAAATTAGATTGCCATTGACAAAAATGAAGTTGATCTTCAATTGACCTTGATATTTCCACCCATGGTCAAATTTTGTTAATCAAAATATGTCTCCCTCGACATCACATAACATCATAATAACAGGATTTCAATATCTTGCATAATTCCGGAGAAATTCAAGTGCGTTGATTAAATGGGACATCCTGTATATATAAACATATATATATATATATATATATTCACAGGATAACAGGGTCGGCAAAAACCCAGTTTTTTTCCAGAAAAACCCAAATTTTGTGGTTTATGGGTTTTTATTCTAGGAATCTAGTAGCAGTTATCTATTGTTTTAAAAGCGTAGTATCTGTTCGACAAAAATATAATCTTAAAAAGTCGTCCAACAGATACTACCAGGATTTAGGACCAGCATTTCATTAATATCATTTATGTTAAGCAATCATTGCAACAAGTAAATAAAGATGCAAATTATTAAATGAATATGCCTTTACAAATCTAAAGTAGCATAGTGCTTTATTCCTATACATCTTGTAATAAATTTATTTGATCAATAATTCCGATTAATTTATAGATAAAAAACTAGTTTAATTCTTAATGTATGTTTTAATAAACTAGTGTATTTTTAAAGATCTAATAAACATTGCTCATGTTTTTTGACCTTTCTAACTAATTTTTGCTTAGCAATCTCGAGCTAGATATTTTACACATTTGTGTTACACATAAGTTAATAATATTTAACAGTAAATAGACATAAATAAAGTTGCATTTCTTTTCTTGTTAGGTATCTAAACCGATTTTGTAAGCTTGCCATACTTATTTTTTTTTTACAGAGTTAAGAATTTACATTAATTTATATTTCTTCGTATTCATTGAAATCCTGATTATTAAATTGGTATATGAGGGATAACATTAGCAACTAAAATTAATTTGATAGGTATCTTATCTCGAATGTACTATTAATCCCATCATATGGCAGAATCAGCGTACAATGTGTTAATTATAATTTTGCTACACTAAATATAAAAGAAATTATCATACTTTATTAGCTACATAACTATAATTTTATTCAACATATACATTGTTAGCTAGATAATTATAATTTTATTCAGTTAGATAATTATAATTATATTCTTTTTTGATATATTCTTATATAATTAATTATGTCTATTTAGAGGAGAGCCAGAATATATCGAAACGATACTATTTCCATCAACCGGCGAGGACTCACAATCGCAATATGTTTGTGTCACACTGATTGTACGATTACCCTCGGGTTATCCCGATATTTCGCCGACTATCAATTTAAGAAACCCAAGAGGATTGGATGAGGATACGGTAAAGCTGATGCAATCCGATGCTGAAGCCAAATGTAAGGATTTCATAGGTCAGCCAGTCATGTTTGAATTAATCGAGGTAAGAAGTTATTCTATCAGTTTCGTTTTTAAAATAATTTTCCTCTCTTTACAATCACTTTGCAGAAAAATAACAATAGATCTATTCTCTTAATATTTCGATAATTTCCATAATTTATGTATTAATTTATTTTTTCATGAAATGGATTATCATCTTATACTACAATAAATTCATACTCATACATTTTTTTAATATACTAGTACAATTCTTATTTCAATATTCAAATTGTAAGAACATAAAAAATATATAAGTTGTGTGTGTGTGTATATATACATATATATATATATACACATGTATATGTTCTTATCTGTTAAAATATTGACAGAATAATTGCAATGTTAATATCAAATGTAGATATGTATTTCTTAGAAAAAATTTACCAAAATTAAATAGGTATGTAGAGACATATAGAGTCATTAATCTTGTTAGTTACAATTTAAAACTATTTATACTATTAAAATTCAGTAATTATATATAATTAAGAGTAATTTAATTCACAATAAATTATATTAGATCTTCGATTATATATAATTTGTATCTCACTCATTTCACAATTTACAATTTAGTATATTCATAATTTTTTTAAATAACTTTTTAACTTATTTTTGCAATCAAATAAAACACGATACAGTAAAAAATATGTTCCTCTCTAATTTAGAAGAAAATATAAGCATACAAATATATAATTCTTTGTTTTTATTTTTATATAAAAATTAAAGCAAAAATTACCATTTATAGACAGATAATAATTATTTCAAAAAATATTAGATGTAATGATAAGTATATAGTCAGAATAATAGTAATTTTAATTAGTATAATAGTAGTAATAATACATAATAATGATGATAATAATAATTTTAATTTATATAATGATAATATACATAATGATAATCGTAATAATCCAGTTAATACGAGAACATCTGACAAGAAGTAATCTTCCTACCGATCAATGCGCCGTATGCTTGTACGGTTTTCGAGAAGGAGATGAATTTACGAAAACAGAATGCTATCATTATTTTCATTCGCACTGTTTGGCGGCACATGTCGCCGCTGCCGAGAGATATTACAGGGAAGAGCAAGAGAAATTACCGCAATGGCAACAAGATACTACAAATAAGTTCCAAGTGCGTTTCCGTTACAGATAAAATATTACTAAAAAGTGCTTAAGCATTTCTTTTCAATGTTATTGTAACGTTTGCTAATGTTCATCTTTCATTCTGTATCTGTATTTATATTTATTCATTAATGTTTATTTTGTTAGGCTATATGTCCCGTTTGTCGGGAATCGATCAATTGCGACGTTGAGAGCCTGTGGTCAGCACCGCCGCCGATTGACGTCGAGGCTGCCACCGATTTCTCTGTCACCGCCGAATTGAGGGAACTGCAAAAGCACATGGCTGCTCTGTATCTGCGGCAGCAACAGCGGGGCGGTATAATCGATCTAGAGGCTGAAGGCGTGAAGATGTTAGTGAGGACGGAGGATGATCCCGCCGCTGCTGCAGAAGAAGTCAGCCCACCTGGTACAAGTTTGAATGCATATTCGAATACCACCACCATGCAATCGGTTACGCAAGTGGTAAGTAATCAGTTGTCTCAATGATTGCGATACAATGCATTCTACGATGAAGGTTTTTATTATTTTAACAGAATATATAAAACTTATAATAAATTCTGTTAAAATCTTGAAAAATAAAGGAAAATGATTAAGCGTTACAATAATGATTTTGAAATGATCTATTATTCTAATGTTTCTCTAATTATTGATATTTTTGTTTAATGCTGTCTTATTTTTTTCCAAGAATTCTAAAATATCTGCAGTATTAAAATTAAATTTAATTCAAATTAAATTTAATTTAAATTGTACATCAATCAGATTAAACAAATATTATAATATTATATACAACATTTGATAGAATGACACAGGATATTTTTCTTATCAAAGCTTTAAAAAATAGATTAATTTTAAATATAATTAACAAAGTTTCTACCAGGAATTATTATCAACAATCATCTTACTTAATCTGGTAATAATTACATTTCTTATTGTTCAATTCTAATTTTGCATTGACTCTTCAACTAACTGAAATGAGCATTTTCGATTTTTGTTGTAGCAGCACTCTAAGCAGTCGACGCACCAGTCGCAGAACCATCACTCACAGTATCAATCACGTCAGATGCAGCACAATCACGGCCACAATAATCATAATCATGGCCATCGACATCGGGGTCGCGGTCGAGCTCATTACCGACGCCACTTTGACAAAGTCAGGCAGACGGAATCTACTCCCAGATGACAATGGGCTGGTGATAAGTTCATCGCCCAAATCTGGTCTGGTCTCCTCTTCGCTCTTTCGCTAAGTGTATACAATATTCTATTTAGCATTAGTAGCATAATCGTCTGTGTAATATATGCTGGCTGTTTGTCCTCCTCGAATAGTCTCATTGCGATAATAAACTTATAGGTGTCGTTGTTCGACAACAAGATTTCCATCGTCATTACAATGACAGTGGAATGCGTCGCGATTTCCTGTCTGGACTGTCTACGTAGATCGAAGCCATGGTGCTCTTTCTTCGAACAATTCGTAATCGTACAAAATAGTTGATATCGTTTTGCTTTAGTTCCTTCTTCTTTACTATTTAATTCACGCGGAATTTCGTGACATTCAACCCATTGGTTCTCTTCGTCTTTCACAAAATATAACAAAAATGAACCATGTTCCATATTCTAAAGAAAAAAATTGGCAAAAATTGCAAAAATAAATTTTTTCACGATATTTAAAAAATTTATTTATAAAATAAAAAAAATTATACATTTTTATTTATACGTAGTGGATTATTATAATGGGTTAAAAGATTTGAACCTTATATTTAAATTAATTTTGAAGCTTGTATTTATTATGTATTAAATTCTATTTTATTCTATTATTATATATTAAAAATAGTTAAAAATAGTATTAAAATTTTAAATAAAATAAAATTAGTTGTTTTTTTTATTGAAGAAATACCTAGTAATTTCTAAGCATAATAAAAAATGACTATTTATTTTGTTTTAATACTATTGCTTTCAAAAATGGCCTATTTATTTTTGTCTTAGGGATATATCTAAATTATCTAAAAATATATCTTACTGAGGAATATATAATAATAGAAGATTATATAATAATACAAGAATTAAAGTAAAAGACATACGAATAAATAAATGTATGTATAATGTATGTAAAAAATCAATTTACATTTAATATATCTATTCTTTTGTTATAATTGCATTAGATCTAGAATTACTAAATAAAAGAATAAAAAATACTTATCCTTGAAATACTTTAGCATATGTCAGCAAATATTTTCATATAAAATATATACAAATAAAAATTTTACACATATGCACATGCATATATTTACATAAATATTTTAAAGCGATACAACTTTGAAAGACAAAGAGAACCAATGATTCACGTAATGATATAATTATCTTCATATTCACTGCCGTGAGTACGGAAAGGTCGCAGATTTATCTTCGATAATTATCTGTTTTTGATTTTATCATCTCTGCCGATTACATATGCACATGGATGCTTCTCACCGCACATTAGACGTTACATATGGATTATCTTAATCTTCTTTTGCACTAACGGGATATAATGCATCCAGAAGGATAATCGCTCACTGAGTACTCAGTGAGCTTTTGCATCTGATTGTCATATTCCATTAGATAAAATTATAGACCAAACAGGTACAAGAGCTCACTGAGTGCTCAGTGAGCGGTTGTGCATCTGGATGCACTTAATAGCTGCGTTTAGCGGACTGAACAGTGGGTGAGCACTCGCTGTTATTGGTGTATTCTTTTAGATCATCCAATCAGCATTTTAGATCTGGAAGAATACATCAATAGCAGCGAGCGCTCAACTATTGAATCCGCTGAAAAAACGCAGCCATTCTTCATATTTAAGAAAATGAAGTGTAAAATAATCACATGTAATGCTAAGTGAGAATGCTTACGAGAGGTAGTCATTTTTATATAGAAAGTTTCAGATCTAGCAAGCAAATATTTTAGAAACAAATTTTCTTTGACAAATTTATAATTTTTATGATACAAATTTCCAGAAATATCGATAAATTATCTTGAAATGAAAAGAAAGATCGAAACGAAGATAATATTAAAATATTGATCTTGAAATAAAAGGTGTTTCTGTGCACAGAAAATAAATTTCGCAAACATAAATTCACTTATCAATTGCTAACGTAATTTTATTTTTCATGTTTTTTGGATCTTTTATTTAAAAAAATATAAATAATATTATAATATAAATTATTAAAATGGCTCAATCAGAATAAATCAATAATTAAAAAAAGGGCTACGAGCGCAATGGCTCGTAGTCCTTTTTTTTAATTATTGCTAAATAATGTAAATTTGTCAAACAATTTGTAACTAAAATATTTATTGCTCGCCACAATACGACTGTATAAACATTCATTAGACTTCTCAATTTCTTAAGGATACAAAATCAGACGATAACATTGAACAATGTAACAATGCGAATAGTTCAATTCTTGGTTTCGTGCAACAGAAATAATGACGAGAAAAATTTAAGCAATCAAAAATTCCCTCTTTCTATGGAAACAAAGATATTTTATACGTTGATATAAAATTGAAATAATCAAAATTAACAGACACTATTTATTTAGCGTACGATATTGTCAAGTTATTCTAATTAGTATAATTTCGGTGAGTTTTGATTGAATCAAACTTAACGAAATATTACACCAATTTCAACTCCTATTTAACATTCTTTAGAATATTTAATTACAATTGTCAAAATGTATATGTATATAGAGTGTTCCAAATGTCGTTTTATTAAATTTATATTAATTAGAAAGGTTCCTTATTATGTTAATCAAGATTGAATTTTTGTGTCGAGGTTTATTTTCTTAAAAAAAAATGTTAACATTTGATTAAACTATACATAGATCATCATGTTTGAAAAATTATTAATAACAGAATCCATATATATATATATATATGTGTGTGTGTGTGTGTGCATGTATATACGCAAACTTTTAAGGGTCGACAAGAAAAACTATAGGAGACTTCTATTGACAACTTTCTTTATGCTGAAATTACAGCTAAAATACCGAGAAAATCGCAATTTAATTGCGATATTCGTAATCACAAAAGTCGTCTGAAAGCTCGTACAGAGGATTTTTGTTGGAAAAAGGGATAAAATAAAAATTTGTTTTAACCCTAGCTATACACACTTTTTTCTACTATTGATATACACACCTGGGACACCATTCATATTTTATTACCATAACTTCAGTAAAAATGGACATACATAGGTCGTCTAAAAAGTTTTGAGCCTCAACATGAAAATGGCATTACTCGTCAAAACAATTTTGGTACTATAGGCTGCGGTCCACTTGACGCTACAAACGCTTTGAAGCGTTTGAGAGACCAATCAGAACAAAGAATTTTACGAATTGACTAATCAAAGAATGCTTCGAAGCGTTTGTAGCGTCAAGTGGACCGCAGCCATAATCGTACATACTTTGAAAGATACCTGCGAAAATTGTAGCTACTTCCGGCGCTTAGTTGTTGTTTGACAGTCATTTGTGCCAGTCAATGTCAATGTTTTTGTAAAAATGGAAAAAATCGAATATCAGCAGTCGCCATGATAAAAATTCACGAATTGCGGTCGAATTAATTGACCATCCACCGTATTCACCAGATCTGGCCCCCAGCGACTTTTTTCTGTTTCCTAGGCTCAAAGTTTGGCTCGGAGGACAGAAATTTTCATCGAACGAGGTCATCGCATCCGTAGACGCCTATTTTGCAAAACAAGACGCTCAGTATTATTTGAATGGATTAAAGGGGTGGGAGCATCGTTGGAAAAAATGTATCGACTTAAAAGGAGACTATGTGGAAAAATAAAATTGAATTTGACTGGAAAATTATTTGTTTCTATGTTAGTCGTCTCAAAACTTTTCAGACGACCCTCTATTTCATTAAATTTTTTTTCAATCGATGGAGATTGATTAAGAAACAAATCCATAATGTGTAAAAGTCGATAGAATAAGGGCTTCGAGATATACTTATAAGTTCAAAGAAAAAGAAAAGTTTAGAAGCACGAAAAAATCTCGATTTAGCAAATTGTATTGGAGTTTCTGGGACCCCAGTGTGTATAGCTAGATTAATATCTCACTCGATCTGCTCTATAGTGCAGTTGAGGTGCAGATAATTTTATTTATTATATTGTTTTAAGAACCAAAATCTGGCTCTGTACGCGCCTTTGTAATTTCATAAAAAAAGAAGCTGAAAAGATCTCATGACGCAATATTACTTCTAAGAGATAAAATAGCATTAAGATATGTATCTGCACAATGAGTAAGAAGCAGATCATTTTATTTATTATAATACTTTTAAAAGCGAAATTGCAAAATTCTGCTTTGTAGCAAGCTTTGTAGCTCCGTAAAACATGTAAAAAAAGTTTCTTTGCAAAATATTTTTTCTATAGTACAAAATATAGAGTGATGGGAAGAAAGTTAGGGCCATAGCACATAAAAAAAACTTAAGCAATAAAACGTAAGCAGTAAGCGAATTGACCAATCACAGTAGCGTCCGTAAGGCCATAACATAAGCAGTAGCGAATCCAATATATTGATTTTCTTACTGCTTACGTCTTACTGCCTTAAGTTTTTTGTGTGCCAGGGCCCTTACTTGGGAAAGTTACTTTGTAAAAGTAACTAGTTACTTTTCAGTTACTTTTCTTTATCATTACAGAACAACATAAGTAACATTTTAGGACCAACAAAGAAAAGATTGATTTACATAATTTTTTTACATGTTATACAATTTTATTTAAAAGATAGAAAGTGTTAAGTCAGAAATACATAGAAAAATGTAAGGCAATAAGATGTAAGCAGTAAGCGAAATGGCCAATCAGTAGAAAATATAAGACAGTATAAACTTCACATTCTGTACTGTGATTAGCTGCTTTGCCTATTGCTTATATCAACGATTAAAACAGTAGTTTTCAATGCGTTAAAAAATAAGCATATTGCCAGTAAAAGGAGTAATCAAACTTATTTTCGAACATACTATTTGTCTTCAATCTAAACGAAGCTTTTGTCCGCGTACCAGTAGCAGAAGTTGCGCAACTATTCAAATTTTAACCAATCACATATATTGACAAATAAGTTTAAAATGTATTCAATAACTGTAAAAGTAACTCATATTAGTTATTAATTACTAAAAGAAATGTAACTTAAGTAAGTTATAAGTTACGTGGGCTGCGTTCCGATATTCACTGCCAACACTGAAATTCTAGTATACGTTACATGCACTATAGATTTCCAGCACTGAAAATTCTGGCAATTTGTTCTTTTTCGAAGAATTCTGAACTATTATAATTTTTATTCGGAACTAGTGCAATAAAGTGAAACAAACTATACCTGTCTCACACTCTAACATTATTGCCAATGTATACCAGTTCAGAACTTGGGGTGGAAAAAGAACAGAACTAGTTATACCTGATAAAGAGGAGCGAAATTAAGTTCAAATTATTTTAAAAAAAAGTAACTCTAACTGTAACTGAGTTACTAGTAGTAACTACAAGTTATTTCCTAATAGAGTGCATATATACATACATCTACACCGCAAATGAGATATAAATGAGTTGGCTCGTCACTCCTGTCGATCCTTAAAAGAGATAGTTAATTAATAATTTTGAAAAATTTCTGATTATATGTACATCTCGGAAGATATCTTTAAAAAATATTATACTTGCATTAGAGCGACCTTTAAAACACGCTGTATATGAATTGTGCCATTTAACAATCGTTCACTCATGAAGAAAGTATATGGCATGTATGACAATTTCCTGCAGACGTTTTGCAAATTGATACACTTTAAAGTAACGTGAATTTTTAGATCTGTCTTTTTACGTCACTCGCAATTCGAGTTTATTATCGAAATGCTTGTGATCGATAAGCATAGGCAATTGTGATAAAAAAAGAAGCGAAATATATTCATTGCATCTCAAATTTGAGAGCAGAATATGTTTCGTATTAAATACAGCTAAGAACTAAGTCTGTTATTTTAAGTTATATTCCTCTTTCGCAAAGTTCCTCGCATTCTCATTGTACTATACATATTATAATTTAATTTACATTTTTTTGCGTAAAACTGAACTTTAAGTTTAAGGAGACGAAGGCATCGTCTATTGTAGATACTCCCTTATTCTATATATGTGTATATATACACATACATATATATACATATATTAAATATTATGTCGAGAAAAAAGAAATTATTAGCAACCTTGTGCGTAAACTCTTCCACATGAATGTGATACTTACAAAAGGGTAATAGGCTAAAGAGTAAGGAAATTTTGGACGCATGAAAATTCGAGTAATTTAGATTTTTCGAAATTTGCCCGTAAAATTTTATCGTTTTTATTTAAATTAAACGTTTAATCTGCTTTGAAATTTAATTCGCCAGCTATTTTATTTTTGACATAAAAAATAAAATAGCTTTCCATTAAATTTTCCGCAAAAAAGAAATCATATTTATAGTAAATTTGTGACAATTAAAATTGAAAAAAATTAAAGCGTAGATCTTGAGATCAAATAAAATACATAAATTATTTTAGTTATTGTAATAATATCACTATAAAAAGAATACTCGAAGAAAACTAAGATAAATTATATTATTTTAAGAACTATACTCTTTCGCATCAATTGAAATGTATTTCAACTTTGCGTATGTTAAGTATAAATATGTGGCACATTAATCGTAAACGATGACTTTTCTTAAATATTAAAAATGCATGAATTTCATAACATTGAAAAGTTTTTGTTGTATTTCATTCGAGATTTATTTTCTAAACAATAGAAGCGAAAAGCACGAGTAATTATGTGTTTTAAGGGAGTAGTTTTTAAGCTTAGCTGTACACACTGGAGTCCCAGAAATCCCAGTGCAATTTGCTTAATCGAGATTTTTTTCGTGTTTCTGAACTTTCTTTTTCTTTGAACCTATACTAGATCTCGAAGCCCGTTAATTTTGTCGACTTTTACACATTATGGACTTATTCTTTTTAATCAATTTTCCATCAATTGGAAAAAAAATTAATTGAAATTTGTCCATTTTTTTACGGAAGTTACGGTAACAAACATGGATGGGGTCCCAGGGACCCGAATATGTGTGTGTGTGTATAGCTAGGATTAATATTACATGTAGCAGAAATGAGCTGTTATTTCTTAAACTTGTTTTGTTAATAACTTTTTAACGAAGGACGATCGCCACCTAAAACCTGTTGGAGATCACTCAGGGTCATGATCTTGACAACATGTCGAAGTCATCTGCGCGATATGTCTCTTAAAGCACATAATTACTAAAACATGTAATCGATATTTAATTTTAAAGGCCTTGTTCAAAATGCTGAAAAGTTTGTAGACATTTATATCTAATATTTATATATATTAGATATTTATTTCTTTTAATTACGAAATTTTATACTTTATTCATTTAAAATACAGGTATTTTTTAATTTTTAAACTGATAGCGTAATGCTGCGGAAATAAGTAAACATTCGAACAGATTTAGTTTTAAAGATTCTTGATATGTTTTAAATGTGAAAATATCATTGTCTCTGTGTGTGTATGATGGATATAATAATTAAGTTACATCCACTATCTATTTCTCTCTATTTGTAAGTATACCAAAGAATGTCGGATTATTAAAAGAGAAAAAAGGAGATGAAAAATCACACAGGGATTGACTTTATATATATATGTATAGGGAGTACCTATTTACTCCTTTCTTACGTGTTTTACGTATGTCTGTGATATTTTAGAAAGCAATGATTTTTATTTAGTTTTTATGACATCACTTTTTTAGATATAAATATCACTGTTTGCGAGCAATCCTTGACATGCCTCAAGCTCAAGAGCTTGCCGAATTATACGAGCTTCTGTACAATGCAATGCGTTTATTGCATAATTCCTCTTTAATTAAGAAAAACATATGTATAATATAAAATTAAATTCTTAGTTGAAAATCTTTAGTTTAGTTTTGTTACATATAACTATATCATTATCCAGCATGGAATTAGTATGAAGTCTAAGCTGCTCTATTATATATAGGCTATATCCGCTATATACCTATTATGTCAATGTTTTTCTAAACTTTAACTTAATATGTATATCTTTAAACACACACACACTACTTAACTCTTTTTTTTATCATCTAGTGAATTAGTAAAGCTGTTTATATTGCTTACATATAATGTCTTCTCTTTGTATTTTGATATGATTAACACTCATTGAGATTTTTTTCATTTTAAATTCGTAGAAGTGAAATTTTTTCATTGCTTTATTAATAGAAGCATTTTCTTAAGCTTTATATTATCATTTTTGTTAGAAAAATTGATTCCAGGCAATTCATAATTAAGAAAGGTGTGATATTGTTAATATATAGGATTTCATTAATGTCCAGTCATTTAATTAACATCGAATTGAGCCGCCCTTTTTACGTGGCTTAGCATTATATGGTAAAAAGAATGGAAGATAGAAAATTATTTAAACTTATGAGATGAAATCATCGAGAAATAACATATATAAATCTTCGAATAACATATATGCATATATTTAAATCTTTGTCGACATATTTTCGGTGCGTTTATTCGCACCGAATTATGAGAACAATACAATACAAAGTCGAGATAATTATTTCACGGTAATATCTCAACGCTGTTATAATACATATTATATATGTAATTGTATATCTATTGTTATATGTATATAAATGGGATTGATGTAATTCACATTTTTATGGTTTGTTTTGATATAGTGAACTTAACTATCGAAACTATCGAGTAGAAGTTTGAAGTTCGCAAGTATTTGGAAGATCAGCAACTTTAAATGCTATGTTGCGAAATGCAAAGAAATATTAATGACTTTCTTCTCTTCATTTGTTCCACTATAACTATAAGTACATAAGCAAGACGACGTATTGTCACACCTATTTCTAATTTATTCTGCATATTATATTTTTAATAAAAAAATATTCGTACAGGTCGCGTACATTTTTGCAGAAGTTCTTTTCGAAATTAACTTAAAAATTTTTCTTTAATAACAATTACAAATACCATGCCATATTTTGTAATACTGACATTTGTGTTACAGCCATGTTTCATACATTAGAATAATCATTATATTATATAATACACAACTTGCGCGCGCGGCACTATACAGTTTTTGTGATTGTGATAAGTATTACTGTTTATACTTATTTGCAAAATGATGTTGATAGATTTCTTCCATTACCTAATCGTATTTTTTAATCAATTTCAATATTATAAACCGAGTGTCGATTACAATTTGGGAATAAATATATATAATAAATAACAGTTATACATGTCCAAAAATAACAAATAAATATTAATTGTCATTTTACAACCTCCTTTACATATTACAACGAATAATACCGTTGATACTATTATCTAAACATCTGTTTAATACGTAGTAATACCTACATTCAGTTTATTTGCCACATATAATTCTAAAATTAAATTCAATTAAATACGATATATATAAATATATCGTGTAAAATGAATGTGTAATTACTAGGACTGTATTCTATTCGCATATTTACGAACAAGAAATAAGCCTCAAATTATAGAATCTTCTGGAACAGAAGTCATATCATTGACACTGGAATGATCTTTTTGTTGATTCAATATGTTGCATTGATTTTGAACTGTCTCCATCTTCGATCGAAGTGCGTTTAGCTCTTCTTGCATTGGCGAACCAAAGTCTTTACTTCGCGTAAGAACGTTGACAGCGTTGTTCAATAATACTGAATTTATAAGAGACGGCGATGGGATGTCCAGCGAGTTCGAGGAATTATTAATGCTATTGCTGTCACCATATCCTTCATCAATACTTTCATCAGCTATTCTAGTTATCGATTTTAATTGATCTTGTAAATCCTATAAAGTGTAAAAATAGTTTGTTATACACAAAAAGTGCTTTGAAATGCAAAAAAAATTTAATAACAATATTGTTTTTAATTAAATAAGTATAGAATATTATTTACCGCGATATTTGTATAGTATCAAAAATTACCTTGTTTCTCGACAGAACTTGTTTCAGATATTCTTGCAAAGAACGTTCTGTTTTGTTTTTCTGAAAAATAGAAGAGAATTTAGTATACAGCCATTCCATGCCAGCGCAAAATTTTTATATTTATATATACGTTTCATATATTTTTACAACCTATGCAAGAAATAAATAAGAAATAAATAATAGGATACAATTATTGAGTGAGAGAAATATATATTAATAATACCACATCGCCAAGTTGATTGTTCGTCTGCTTGTAGTAAAATTTGCGCTCCAAATTCTTCATCTTAATCTTCTCTTCTCTGAGTTTTTTAAGCAGAGCACTATTCGCTTTGTATGATAAAGTCTTCAAGCGTTTATTCTCGTTCACGAGATCCTGCATGGTATTCAATTTCTCTTCGGATTCCGCATTCTTGGATTTCAACAATTTATATTGCGCTATCATTTTGGTCAGCTGCAGTCTCAGATAAGATATTGCATCCTCCACTTGACTTTGCTCTCGTTTGGATGCTAATAACGAAGTCTGTAACGTCTCATTTTCGGATCTCAATTTTTGTATCTCAAATTGCGTTTTCCGTAACAGGTCGGCAGTCTCGTTCTTCTCCATTTCGGACTCTTGCATGTTCTCTTCCATGGACGAAATCAGGATACGCTGCTTGCTCAGTGTATTCTCCATCGACATTTTGGCCATCTCGTTGCTCAACAATCGTTGCTCCAGAATTTTCATTTCAGCTTTAGTGTTTCGCAATTCGTCTTCGGTCGCTTCCAACAACATGGACGTATCTGTCGGACTACCTGTCGAGTTTCCATCTAATGCATCTTGCACGGTGTTGATAGCTCGAATATGTGATTGCAAATCCTTCATCGTATTTTGCATTTCTTGCTTTTCCCTCTGATATTGCTGCGTAAGTTCCATGTATTCAGTACTCAGTTTATTGTAACTAACATTTATATTCTCTATCGCGTGCTGTCGTTGTTTCAGTATATTCTGATACGTGTCTATCTCCACCTGTAAACACTTCTTGCTGGCCATCAGGATATGCATTTGCGACTGGTACCATTTCGCGGAAGTTTCCGCGGCAGACAGACGATTATTGGTATCAGTCAATACATTTTGTAACTTTTGTTTATCCTGTAGCACCGTTTGCATCTCCACAAATAGCTCAGTTACCTTGCCCTTGAGACCCTGATTTGCGGCGATCCGAGCATTTAAATCAATTCGTACGTTTTCCAAGTCGACACGCAATCGCTCGTTCTCTATTTCCAACAGAGCTACGCGCTTAGACAGTTCAATGTTAGAGACATCAGGTGTAGACAGGTGTCGCAGATGGAACTCGTCGGTGATCAATTGGAGAGAGTCTGTAGAGGTCACGGAATCCAGCTCTCCCCGATATGAGTCTGACAGATTGTCCATTGTATCAACTTGATAGCAGATTGATGTGTAGTCAACGAAAGATGATCACCTGAATAAACACAATTTGTATCAATAATCAATAGCTAATATATTCAAGCTAGGAATGACGAGAGGTATTGACTATTACAATAATGTTCCATTAATATATAAAAGATATTTCTGTAGTTTTTGTTATATTCTTCGCATTATATTTAGAATATCATCCATTTTTTCTAACATGAGAAAGAAATAATAAGTAATTAATAAGAAAAAGTGATTAAAACTGCAGTTTTATAAGACCAAAAATATAATTCTTGCATGATAAAATGTTAACTACTCTTTTACTCAACAAATTTTAACATACGATAACATGTAGCAAATGGCAAAAATATGGTAAAAATGGTAAAATTAATCGGTGAAAGTTGACATAACCCTCCTTCGAGATTCATTTATTGAGATTTTCAATTCTCTCTTCTATCAAATATAAAGAATATAGAACATTTTTAAATAAGTTTCTAATAGTGTAGTTTTATCTCTCGAATTATGAATTAATGACAGCCTTGATCACACAATGTTAATATTTTTATTGACAGGTGTAATAAGTATTTTGGATCTTGTTGCAAGTTAATGAAAGATGCAGAACGACATACCTCATTTGCGATTTTGTCATCTTTAATTAGTCGCAGATATCTTTTCGCAAACTGCGTTATCATTCGGCGATGTCAGCAACTTAAATTGCTCAAAACTAGCAACAATTAATCTAATTAACACCTTCGCAGCGCGCCACCATTTTGATTCTGTTTATCCGAACAGGAACTGCACTCTGTAGTCTGTTTGATCTGTACTGCTCTGCACTGCTCTGCACTGCTTTATACCACCTTGCTCTGTACCAGAGAGAAACCTTGTCTGTACTACCTGTTATACTTTCTCTTCTTTCTTTTAAAAAAAGAAAAGAATCGAATGTAACAAAAGATTTTGATGCAGGTCAAGTTAAATTTGACTCTTCAATCTTTCCAATTCTAATTGTACATAAAGAAAATCTTTAATTTTTATTTTCATATTCAGATATAATAAATAAAATTTTGTTAAAATATTTATTGACGGGGAATAGACACAGAATATAAGAACATCTGGCTATAATTCATTACTAATCTTTATTTGTTCTTTCTGGACGTGTATCTCACATGTGAGAAATAAATAATATTAAATAATATATTCTAATAAATCATCTTAGTTCATGCACTTCTTGGAATGCAACTTTAAATAGATAATAATTTCATATACATAGTCGTAAGCAGCAGCTGAAAATAGAGCAATTATGCCTGTTATATTTTATGTTGCACAATACGTAATAGATCTGAGAGATATCTTGTTGATTTTCGAGCAACGAACAAAATCAAATATTATTTACACAATGCTATTTATAATAATTATTCCCCCCCTTTCTCTTTTTCAACTTCGCGATTATAATTAATATTTGATAAAATGGAAATCACAGAACATCTGCTATGCATAGTCATTTTAATTATAAATTATTACGGCAAACTGGCGGCTTCCTCTGTAGACCTGTGCAAATGGATAAAAACGAAAAGAATGTAATTTTATAATTTACGTATATAATAAAACATATGCATCGTCTTTGAAAGACTGTTAAAGCTATAATGTTTAGCAAATAATTTACTTACTTATCAATAGTCTTACTAGGAGTATTATTCGAAGAACCTTGTACAGCTAAAACAGTATCTAAAACAGTTTTTTGTCCTGAAAGATAAAACAAATGTTTTTCAATGTGGAATTTTAAAAATATCAAACTTTTGATCAAACTTTTGATGTTTTAAAAAGAAAATGATTTTAAAAGGAAAAAGATAAATTTTAATATATTTAAACATATACATAATATACAATTACATATAATTTTTATACAAATTTTTATATAATTTTTATTTTATAATTACCATGCTGATACAATGCCGGTGACCAGCTGTAACTGTTAGGACTAGGAATAGTATCCACTGTTATAGCAGTGTTTGTAGACGATGATATTGATGATGATAATGTACTCTCTTGCACCAATGAGAGTGCAACGGAACTTCCACCAGCAGTGCAAGTGTTATTCTTTGCATCAGACAAAACATTTTTCCTACACATCAAATATAAAACACAAATTGATTAAAACTGTTAAAGCAAAGCAAAGATAATAAGTGCAAAGGTGTCTCTTTATATTTGTTTAAAATACTTCATTTTTATTCTATTCATATAATATTCAAATCTTACCTTGATTTTGATGATTTGCTTGTGACGCTAGCAGTTGCATCTTTTTGTGAGTCTGGTGACAATTGAATGGCTTCGAATAATTGGTCGAACTTGAACATCTTACTACTGTCATTTATTAAATTCATACTAGTAGATGAACTCGGAGATGATTGACGCCGAGATAATAAATGTTTTGATATAATTTTATTACTGTCTAGAAGTACTGAAACAATATTATTCAAACATATAAATATATTATTGCTGCTTCTCTCTCTCTCTCTCTCTCTCTCTCTCTCTCTCTCTCTCGCAATATTATTTTTTTTAAATCATAAATTGAATAACGTTGGTCCATAACAATATAAAATAAACTTTTTACTATTTTTATACCCTAAATTAAATTATTTGTCGCAGAAGTTGTATGTTATCAAATGTAAGTTTTTTAAAGCCTATTAAAAAATAGTAGATTTACTGATACTTTTACATTATTTACTTTTTTTTTTACATTTGCTGTGAGGTAAACTATCATTATCAATTCAATATTATTTATTTCTTCTAATATCTCATTACTCACCATTTGGCACTATGAGATCTAAACGCAATCTAGGCGACTCCATATCCTGATTGATTTTATTAGCTACTGGCAGCTTCGGGATATCGTTTTCACAGTCTATTGAATTGGAACGCGTCGCTGGTTCGGATCTGGTTATCGGTATTTGACTGCTGGAAGCTATTGTTGCAGCTATTTCCGATTGACAAATGCTGGGCAGTCGATTCAACTTGGTCTTAGCGCCACAAAGTGCTTGCGGTTGGGAATGATGAAAAGCGCAATTAGGATGCTTGTTGTCAGTATTTAAATTTAAATCATTGCAAGCGGCAGTGTCAAGTTCAGGGTGCTTGTGTGAGTACACCGTGGGCGTGGTAGATTGCACCGTAGCATTGCAGTGTAACGGGCTGGAACTGTGACGTCGTAGACTTGCGAGCGAGCTTCTGGAATCACAGCTCCTATCCGCTTGTTGACCAAGACATAAAGAGTTCCATGTTGAATTTCTGTCTTGCATCTCGAAAAGATGCAGCAGCATTATTTCCCTCAACCTACATTACAAAAGATTCTTATCGAGTTATTTGTATGATCATATTGTTTTTTTTCTCATTTAATATATGTATAACACTTTATCCAAATTTTACGTATTTTGTCTTAATTAGAAATCTTTTTTTAATTTAATGTTGAAGATTTTTTCTCTCATACAATTAAACCAGTATAATTAAATTTAATATGATAAAAAAGTAAATGTTCATATATATATATATATATGTGTAATAATCTGTCTCTTTAAAAATTCAACGATTTTTTCATTTTTATGCTAGTGTATTTATCAAAATCTGTTTCTCCATTAAACTGATAAAAATTTTGTTAAAATAAAAAATATAAATTTATATAAAGTTACACAGTCTATGACTTATAATTAATTTAATATATTTACTTCTATTTAAATAACTATTTTTATAATATTTATGAAATGATCCATATATTTTTTCTCATTGTTTTAATATTACAAAAGCAGTAAATATACCTGCATGTATCTGTAACAGTATCCCTATTATTTTGTTGCTTTGTACGCTGCTTATTTTGAACCCAAGATGCAAGAGATTCCGCAACTTCAACGTCATTCTCCCCTAAAAAAATATTCTGATTTACCACTGCTATAAATAGATTTATATTAATTAATCGTTTTTATCCTAACTTTTTTATTTATCATATTTTTCTTATCAAAATTGTTTTAAATGTGTATGTTTAATACATATTAATATTAAGTTACTTTTTACCAAAATTATTTTAATTATATATTTAATATATATTAAGTTTCTATAGTTATTAAAAACAAAGCATTTATAACAATAGTTAACACAGTTATGATTTAATATTGTTTGACAAATAAGAAGTTTCTGTTATTTTCGAATAATCAAGTTTTCATAAATACAAGTGCTTTTTATGTACATGAAAATGTACAGAACAGATAGCTTGACTAATTACAGAGTAATTTCAACATTTGTATTATACATAGGATACACAGACGGATTAGAACAGAGTAATTTTTATAATTTGAATATTTAAATATTAATAATACAGGATTAATAATATAGGATACGTACATGCATTAGGAGAAGTACAGTTAAATACAGAGTGATTTAAACTGTGCAAAGTAAATCAGATTTAAATATGGGATAAAAATAAAGATAGGATTCTACGAGCTCGCATAAAAGCTAATGGGAACGATGGACGTAGGGATTTCTTTCACACATTCTTCATCTGGTCTTTCATTCATGGAATTTTCGCTTTCAACATCCCTATCGACAGTGCACAATCGTCGTCTTTGCTCGTCTCTGGATGAATCTCTGTTCGAGCTAGCACCTAATTTTGCAATACACTACTTAACATCTCGAATATACATCTTTTGCAGCTTTAATTATGACTTATACAATCACATATTATTTATTTTAGCTAATAATTAATTTTTGACCTTAAAATTGTGATTATTTAATACATTTCTTTTACAATATAAATATGTATTAACCCTAGCTATACATACTGAGGTTCCAGAAATCCTAGTGCAACTTGCTAAATCAAGATTTTTTTCGTGTTTCTGAACTTTTTTTTTTTTTAATCTATATATCTCGAAGCTCCTCAATTCTTATCGACTTTTACATATTATGGACTTGTTCCTTAATCAATTCTCTATCGATAAAAAAAAAATTAATTGAAATATATCCATTTTTACGGAAGTTACGGTAACAAATGGATGGGATCCCAGGGATGTGTATATCAAGGGTTGAAAAAAAGTGTGTATAACTAGGGTTAAGTATAACGTTATTTTCTATTTGCATAACGATATATCTGAAATACGTATATACATATATATTTGCATACCTGACATGGTCTCGTCATCTACGTCATTTTCGTCATTCGTTAAATCCAAAAGCGTAATGTTGGGCTCATTATGTTCGCATTCGTCCATAAAAATGTCATGTTCATTTAATTCCTACAATAATATGATGACAATAAATTATTCTTGATAAAGTTGGTTAAAAACCTAAAACTACAAATATAAAAAAAAAAATAAAAAGACTATACTCACGTCGCTACTGCTGATACTGCTATCAGACGAGAGATTTAACGGAGACAAGTAAAATGACGATGGAGAATGGACACCGTTGGCAGCCTGACACTCTCCTGGCGACACATCATTGGTACAACGTTGCGCGACTTCACCTTCCGCAACACTTGAGCTATTAACTCGATGCACATTGCTTGTCATCGCCGATAATACTGATGTAGACAGCAGAGGATCGCTGGCGCTATTATTGGACAATAAGTTCAGCGGTTGATGACCAAGTACGGGTGATGAATAAGGCGACGATGAGGAAACTAGATGAATTCCCGTGGCTTGACATTCCTCGGGTGACGTATCGTTGACGCGACGTGGCGATAAAGTATTCTCGGCCTCGATAACATTCAAATTACTATTGGCACGGTGCGTCTTCAACGACGTCTTCGATGACAATGTCGTCGTAGAGCTGAGAGTATGCATACTCGAGAGTTCACTTAGCTCACACATTGGCATCAATTGATCGCTTGGTATTGTCGAGTTACCATTATTATTGGGAAGTGTACTTGATATTGATCTATTAAAAATTATATATATATATATATTTTATTATTATAGAATATCTACTTGCGCTCAGAATTTTGAAAGCTATAAAAATGATAAAGCTTTTTATTTAAAATATATGAAGGTTCAAATTAATTTAATGCAATTTGCTTAAGTAGATTTTGCAGCATTTATACCTCACTGGTGTTCCATTCGTAGTAGAATACGCATCAATTGTTCGTGTAGTATTTGAATTGGTCATTGGCTCGCCTGTATCTTGTTGTTGCTGCTGTTGCTGCATAGATATAGGCGATGTATTTACGGTTGCGCACATCGTTCCACTAGTAGCTCTGGTAGCCGCCATGGCATTACGAGAAATTTCTATCGCTAGTCTCTGTGTATAAAAAAGTATTTCTTTAACATAAAATATTTCTATATTATCCTAATAAAATTTTCTCTATATTATATATGATCAATAAGTATTTAATTATATGTATAAATATACAAAATATCAGAAATAGCTTACTCTTTTTTCAGTTTTAACATTTTATAAAATGAATTTTTGCATATATAGATTTATTTTATAATTATATTATTTTAGATTATCTTATAATCGTAATATATAAATCGAAATATATAAATAAGTTAAATATGTTATTTTATATTATAAATTTTTAGATTTTATTTTAAACTATTTACCTCTTTCAATTCATTAATTTGAGTGATATATTGATTTTGGACAGTTAATAATTGGCTAATGTACCACTGTTGGTCTCTACAGCGTTGGTAAAATGTCGGTGGTCGTACTTGGAATCTGTCAATTTTATATTAGATAATTACATATAATTTAACATTAAATAAGTAATGTATTATCTTATAATTCAATATTAGCATTATCATTATGTTCATAATGATAATGCTAATGACTGTAGCTTTAATCTATATAAAAGTGACTATACTATATATAACTGTAGTTTTAATCTATATAAAAGATACAATATATAAAAAGTTTGTTATGTACACAAATATAAATATTCAAAACTTCTTAAAACATAAAAATTTCGAATAAATTTAGTTTTGTAACATTGATTAAAAAATAATGTTCATAATATATAAAAATATTTACCTCAATATGAGAGTATCCAATTCTGTATTTAAGTAACCTTCCGTCGCGAGTAAGTCTAATCGAAAGAATCTATTATATCCCCAACATTCGCCGATCTCGAAATCAGACGCAAATTCGCGAACAATATTTTTACTCGTATCACGAGAGCCTTGATGAATCATTTCAACTCTGTACTCATACCTACAAAAATATTTAGAATATAATAAAACAGATATCTACATTTTTTGTTGTATATTTTTAGATATATGATCTATGACTTTCGGTACAAGAAATATACAAATCATTACTTATGAATTTACATACTTTGAAGTTTCCGGCAATCCAGCGCTGAGCTCTAAAAATACTGACAAATAATTTCCGCGTACAACTCCATTACCATCTGGATATACTTTCAATCGCCAGCACAGCCCATTCACATGCAATGGCATAGAATATACTGGATCAGCTTTCAGTTGAAGCTGAGTAAAATTTTGCATGGCAAATGTTGCGCTGTCGTAGCCTGGCACAATTTCACTAGAATAAAATAACTCGTATGAAATTTAATACGAAATTATAATGATAAATCCTTAATCATTATAATTATATAAACAAATTTCATATATAAATATATATGTACAATAATTACATTAATCTTTACTTTAGAAGTCTCACCTATGAAAGTCAGCAGGTACTGGTGCAGTGACAAAACTCGTCATTGGTTTTTTGCGAACCTGATGTATCTTACGAGAAATATCTGCGCTTTTAACGATCAATTCGGAGCGTGTACATGTGTGCAATTGATATTCCACCTCTTGTAATAGAGTCTCTAGCTGTTCAGTTTCCAAAGTCAACGAATTCTTCTGACCCATCAGAGTCAGCAGTTTAGCTTTCAATTGAGAATCCAAACGAGCTATCATTAATTCTATTGCGTTTCTGATCTCTCTGACTCTTTCATCTTTTGCAGCTCTCACCGATTCAACATTTCTCTCCTAATAAAATATGATAAAATTACAAAATGTAGCAGAGAGAATAAATTCATATGCCTACATATTTTCAATTTTCTTCCATTTTTCTAAACTTAAAATTTATAAACATAACATACCACTTCTTGAACAAGACTGATTAATTCCATGAGTCTTCTATTTAATTGACCTACTTCTGCTTTTATCTGAGAAACATGTTGCTCATAAACATCTTCCAAAGGTTTAAATGTATGTCCTGAGTGAGTACCTCCCCAAAGGGCACATTGATGACAAATACATTTACGGCAAGTCCAACAATACACAGATAATTTTTCCTGATGTGCTGTACATCTGTGATAATAATAAATAAAAGTTCAAATATTACAAATACAAGTTACATATAGTAAAAAAAATACATGCATTGAATAAATAATAAAATAAAAAATCAAATTATTAAAAAATATAATTTTAAGTTTACAAAAAAAAATCAATGTCTCTAAAATTCCAAAATATTATTTCACACCTGTCTCTGTTAGAATCGTCAAGTCGAAAATTAGATATACAAACAGCTTGCAATGTATCAAGTTGCTGGGTTACTTCCTCGACCCAACGACAATTTACTAGTTCGTGTAAGTGGAGGGAAGCTCGACAGTGAGGACATTGAGAACGCTGTTCAGTGAGCCACCTTCTAATACAGGTGTAACAACACAATTTACTACAGTGAGGACAGAGATGCGCATCTCTCAGCTTTTCCATACAAATGAAACATCGGAAAACTTCTGCCAATGTCTATAATAAGAAAGTAAGAGATTATATTTCATCACTTTTAAATTTTATGCTACAGTATGCAATTATAATATTGCAATTCTTACATAATTAATCAGTCTAATATACATATAATAATGTACTTTTCCTTATATATATATATATAATTATTATAATTTTATAAGTATTAATTTTAATTATATAATTTTATTGTCATTAATTTCATCATTAATATATATTTTAGAATCTTCACATTTTTGATTTAGATATAAATAATGAACAAATTATTAGCATCTCACGTTAGGAAATTTCATTATAAAGATACTGATTCAGAATAATAAAATATGTTTGAAGTAAGAGGTCCAGTTTTACACCAAAAATATCATTGTAAATTTCGGGATTAAGAAAAGACATTAATAAAGTTTCGTGGCTGTCGTTATGCTTTACACAATAATAATAGATCAGTTCGTTCTTCTGGCTGTGTTTTCTCATACTTTTTGTATTGAAATAAATAAGGGCGCAGCTGAGCACAGCTAGAACGAAAACGGATCCAGTCGACCTCAATGCTAACCTCGACGCTATGGTCATCTGCGATTTTGGAGGAAACCGACGGGTCTCGGCTGGCCATCCTTGGTTTGAAGCACGCTGCACACAAGTAAAGGCCGTTATCGACGAATATCGACCACTTCACTGAGCGTGCTGTCTGCGAAACACATGTCCCAGAACTGGATCACCGCGATGTGTTCGATTCAGCGGCGTCGATCATTCGAAGCATCGCGCTCAATCACGGGCTCGCACAATTTTGTTTGATCTCGTCGCGACGGTGCTTGAGCATCCCTCGCAAACAGGAGTGCGGAAGGACGGAGCTGCACGTATACGCTGTTTTGTTAATGTTCAAAATTTTTAGGGCGAGAACCGTTAACTGTCGTTCCCCGCATACGCTCCGTAAACAGTTGTGACAGGACAGGCACGGACTGTATAGAGACAGACAGGCGCACAGTGATTCTAAGGGTGAAATCACACGGTGCGGAAAAAGACTGCGG